CTCTAGCTCTCTCTCCCTCTCTCTCTCTCTCTCTCTCTCTCTCTCTCTCTCTCTCTCTCTGACTTTCATTCTCTCTGTCTCTCAATCTCTCTCTGTATTTCGCTCTGTCTCTCTGTGACTCTCTCTCTTTCTCTCTCAACCATTTAGCGGTGGGATTCTTTAAGGTCAGGCCAACAAGGATTTGCGTGTTGTTTGGGGCAGAAGCTAATATGGTTAGCTTTGAGAATTGTTGGTGCTTGGTTAAAGCTGTAATGGTTTTGCTTGTCTTTTTGTTTGGGAATTTGTTTCTTGAGCAGGGGTGTCAAACTAATTATTGTTGGGGGCCACCATGTAGTTATGGCCTCCCACATAGGACCGTTGTGATATTTCTCTTATAGTTGACACACTAGTTATGATAATAAACTTAAATTAACATCAACTCTTTGTATTGCGAGTTTTCTGTGGAAAATAGTCCTCACAGATGGTACATTTTGGAAATGTTAAATTGTAAGGCATTGCATTGCATAGTGATGTAATGTCAAGCAGGGAAAAAAAATGGCGTTAGCGCATGTCAGTGTTCAGGCTACGTTATATACTGCTTTGCATTTATCCATCATTTCTCTACCATTTATTCTGCTCAGTCGAACCTCACGCAAGTACTGGTAAAACATGACCCAATTCAAACACATATGACAGCAAAGGAGACGCGCCAATCACAAGGCCATTGTGCGGCCCAAATGTTTTTTAGAGTATATTTATTTTTAAGCAAAAACTTGTTTTGTAGAAGCAATTTTTTTGCGATTTTCTGTTGCTCTTCAGCCCTGCCATTATTCCACCCTGACGTTGTGTTGTCAGTGCGTTTGAATTTCTCAACAGTTCCGCTGTGCTAAATGCGAAGTGGCAACACCCTAAAGGCCAGGCCTCGCCGGCGGCCTTCCAAGGGAGAAATATCACAGGCAGCTGCATGCACATTTTAGATCCCACTTTGTACACCAAAGCAACCTTTTCCACGGACCCCAGCATCTGAAAGTAACCCCCCCACCCCTCCCCACGCGCAACCAGCTCCTCCCGATCTGATCAGATGACGTGTGCCCAGCCAAACACATGCAGGGAGATAACATAAAAGAACATTGGAGACATGAAAGCGCACATTGATTGTCCCTGTTCGCCTCAGCCCCAGCGGGCAGGCACACAGGCAGGCTGGTGGGTACGCATCCCCCAGTGCTGTGGCCAAGTTAGATACAAGAGGCGTGTGTGTGTGTGTGTGTGTGTGTGTGTGTGTGTGTGTGTGTGTGTGTTTGCGTGCTACACTCCCTGTGCCACTGCCTTAGGCCCTCACACATCCAACCAATCGAAAGGCCGGCTTCTAGCCACGCTGGGCTCCGCCTCAGGCCTGCGGCTAGATCCCCAGCCCCACCCTGACCCCCAACAAATCCCCCAAACCTCCCCGAAATGCACTCGCCGCAATGGTGACCATGTGACTGGAACCGCACACGCGCACAGACGTGTCATCAGTCTTCATGTTTTGGGGAAGTTCAGCCCCCAAAGCAAGTTTTGTTTTAACCACATGAAATTTGTCATGCATATACCCACAAAAAACTCTCAAGAATCCATGCCCGGAAAAACACAAGAAGTTTGCCAGTTTCCAAAAGGTTTTGTGCTAGCAGTTTAAAATTGGGGGTGGAAAGCTCTGGAATCCGGATTAGTCATATACATTTTGGTAGTCATGACTTTTACGGGTAGACCTACAAAAAAGCAGCCATGCCCGAAAAAGAAACAGGAAATCTGCCATTTTGGTTTGAAACAAGTCTGTTTGGGCATTCTGGCCTTGAAATGTTATCCATGTTTCTGCCATTTTTAAAAATAAGCCCCAGAAGCCAGTTTCACTTCTCCAAATGAATTTTGGCAGGCATGTCTATCATGAGTAGAGACACAACAACAAAAAAGCCTCAGGAGGCCATACTCAAAAAGACAAAGGAAGTCAGCCGTTTGGGTGTGAAACTAGTCATTCTGGATATTTTACCTTGACATTGACCAGTTCACTCAGTGTACCCAACCTCTTGCCACAAAGTCAGCTGGGATAGGCTCCAGTGCCCTGCGAGGATAATCATGAAAGCTATTGGAAGATGAATGGATTTCTTCTATTTAAAAAAAATTATAATAAATTCAGCCCTTGCAGTCAGTTTCCCACTTGTATTTTGCTGTTTATGTTTCCTATAAGTAGTCTCAACAAGCCATGCATCTCGGAAGCAAATAGGCCATTTTGTTTTGAAACTAATAATTTTGGCCATTTTCATCCAACATTTTATGGATCTAAAATGCTCATTTTTAAAAATATATTGACCTGTGTTTTTTTTTAATTTATTATTTTTTTTAAATTTAGATGCAGCAACAGGAACTGGCCCAGATGAGGCAGCGGGACGCTAACCTCACGGCACTAGCGGCAATCGGACCCCGCAAAAAACGCAAGGTGGACTCTCCGGGTGCCACCCCATCAGGGACTGAGGTAAGAACGAAACCGATTTCAAATCCTAAATCGAAACTACATGTCAACTTGTCATTTCTCTTACAAAAAGAAAGAAATGAATTGAGGACTGTACACATGGAATTAACACATTATCGTATATCATAGCAATCCTCGCACATCATGCTTATTATGCCCCGAGGGCCTATGAGCTATACAGGGATGACATTAAAGCAATTTGGAGGGATACTGTGAACATTCGAGTGATGATGTCGCAGAGCTAAAATGCTAAAGAATGAAGCAAATGGAAAATCACTCACATTAATACATAGAGGTGCGACATTGTGGGAATTTTCAAAGTTGGAATTTTTCCATGGGAATTTAAATGGAAGGTTGACTCAATTGGGAACTTATACATAGAACATTTCTGACATAGTTTTCCTGGCGCCATGGACAGTCATTACTGTTGGTCTTACACAAAGAGCCTAAAAATACATTTTTCAGAATATGGTCACGAATAAACTCATTAATTGGTGAAACCCTACAAGATGCTGCCAAAGCTAAATTTAAATATGAAAGTGGGACAATAATTGATGCCAGTGACGTACAGTATATTGAAGGGATACAGCTCGATTGAGATAAAAGCCTTGTATGTCAGGTGTGCTCAGGTAAGCCTGTGTTGTTAGTGGAAGTTAGGGAGTGCCTTCGCTGCATATGCATGGACATGGCGCACCGTCACATTTTTTTCACCGTCACATCAACTGTAAGCCATTTATTTTATGGATAATGACATAAAATGATTTTAATGGATAATGATGTAAAATGAGTTTAAAATATTCAACTGTTTTGTGACTAGCTTGTGGTATAGTTGCGGTTTGAACTTCAGAGTATAAAACCTAATAAAAGAGAAAATGACGAAATGATGGTTTTATAATCAATCCAAAAGCCATGCATACATACTGGAGCATTGGTGTGTTGATTGATGTACCTTTAAGGGGCTTGGCCTAGAAATTGACATCAGGATCTGGAGTCATTCGGGTTGGCGGGTGAGTTCAGTGTGAGCCTCAGCTCATTGTGAGTGTTTTCATTTTGGATGTGTGTATTTGACTGTTTGTCCTGTTCGATAATTGATTGAAAGTGACTGTGGCTCTCCTTGCCCATATGCAAGGGCATTCAAGTCACCTTAATTATTTCGTTTTTTCCCCCCACTTTACTCCAGTGACAAGTGAGTGAGATCGATTTGCAGATTGACAAATGGGCGAGTGTTCACTGTATTACCTTATGTGATGTTTTCATCGCGGCAATAAACAAAAGCATAGACTTGAGTGTCATATTCCGGGTCATATATGAAGTCATGCGTGGTTGCTGCTGCTGCTGCTCCACAAAGTCGTGTTTTCCCTTCGGGCGGTCCGCGGGAACATTTGAAATTCCACATATTCTGCCCGTATGTCTGATTCAACTCAAACGAGGCCGAGTTTTGAATGCAAAATCGTTCATTTAAATAACCCGCCCGTATCGAGCCGCCGTGTTGTCTCAGCATGCCGGGCTTTAGTAAATGTGGCCAGTAAAAAGGCATAAATAATAAAATAAAAGCATTACTTCTGCTCCTTGAGCGCAGTGCCGAGCTCTTTCACTATGTTTTAGCCTGATGGGTATCAGCCTGCGACCTTCTGCTGCAGTCCAAAAAAAAAAAGAAAAAAAAGAAAGCTGCTTTCCTAAATGCAGCTATACAGCATAAACATGAATATACATTGTTTTTTTTTTTTTTTGTTTTTTGTTTTGTTTTGTTAAATTTCCTGTTCATGTTTAATTAGCGAGGCATAAGCACAGTCCTCTGGAGTGTTTGCAAAGAAGGAAGAGGAGGGGGGAATCTTAACTTATTTTCACTTGGATTTCACCTCCTCACATTTCTTCATTTCACATGGGCTGTGAGAGCCAGCGGCGTTCTCTTTCCTTTCTCCAGAGCAAAGTGAATGTGACTTTTCTAAGGGGGTCACAGGATGCCTGCAGGCCTGTGGGTGTTACTGGACTGTTGCCTGCTCTTAGCTTCACTGAGGGGCTTGTCATAGATTTCATCTCCACAGAAATGAGCCGGGGGCTGCTCCCGTGGCCAGGAGCGCAGGCAGGCGGGCGGGCAGCCCGACGTTGCACAGGGCCCACGCTGATTATTTCCCTCTGACATCGCATCCTGAGCTTTTCCGCATGAATCCCAGACAAAGGCAGCCATTCAGTGCCATGCCAGTGCTTAAATTATAAGGCGGATAACGGCGTAGTTGAGATCCTGCTCCCGCAATACTATCCCGTCCCTCCCTGTTTGCTCATTTCCTCACCTCTGTGACGGAATGAAGGTGACGCTGTTTCACTCCCTTATTTTAATTTGAATGCCCAGGTTCTCCTGCTTGGAAGGCTCATCAGTAGATTTTTCAGATATCTGTATGTGACACGAACCAGATTGAGAGCAAGATATTCCTTATCCATGGCCTTATTCTCGAGAGTTGTTGTCAGGTCCAAGAATAATTTGTGGTGAATGCCGTGTGTCTTGTGCCAAAATAAAAACAACCAACTCTTGGTGTTTAAGAACTCTCCTCATCTGAAAAAACCACTTTCAGTGGTCAGCTGTCATGGAAACGCACATTTAGTTACCTTCCACCGTGTTCCTGTTAATGATATACCCCAAATGACTGAAGCGTCATTATTTGGATTTGATTCCATTTTAGATTCAATTTTAGAGCATGAATATCTGGTGTTGAAGGTGTAGTCTTGATATTTCAGTACTGACCCGCACATTAATGTTCACTTCACAAACTTAGCAAAGGTATGGATCATGTTATTTTGATAACATGTCCAGGGAATTTTGACTCTCAGTGCGAACACGACAGAAGTTAATCAAAGAGGGAAACTACTTTGGGTTTTATTTGTGCCAAATTATTAAACTTGGTATTGTATGTAATCGATAGTAAAATGTCTTATTTTACTTAAGTACATTTCACAATTTGTACTTTTAAACCTAAAACATGTAGTTGAATCAGTACCAAACCAAACAGTACCAAAGTCTTTTTTACACAAGCATCTGTACTACTTAAGTAGTGTGCGTACTTTTGCAACCGCCGAGGGCGATGAAACCCAGTCAAGACTGTGAGTGTCTGCAAACCGGGACGGAACAAAGGGGGCCTTACAGGACTCCGCAGGGAGGATTAGCTGCCAGAACCCAGCGGTGGATCTCAGTTGGGGGTCGCTCAGTCGTCCCCCCGTCAACCATCCTGCAGCCTCAACCCCCTAATCAGCACTCGGTGGCTTTTGAAGTCGGGCATAAAAAGTCGAGGGTGAAGCACCTTGAGGAAGAATGAGGGATGTAGCGGAGTGACAAAGGGGCAGCTGAGGGTCGACGCAAAGTTAACCGTACCTTTTGTATGCAATGCGACGGGGTGTTGCTCCAAGTCTGTCTTCAAAGGTCCAAATCTGGGGCATGTGGTTGATGCATCTGCCTTGCAGTCCGAGTGTCTGAATTTGAATCTCGATTTTGCATGTTGTTCCTGTCCTTCTGTGGACTTTTTACTCTGACCTCCTCCCATATCAATTTAAAAAAAATGCATGTTTGTCTATTTTCTATAGCTGTGAATGGTTGTTTGCCTGATGGACTGGCGGCCGTCCGGGATGCAGCCCTCGCCCATTGCCCAAAGTCAGCTGGGAAAGCTATCTCAATAAGTGGCATAGGATGCCAAGAGATGACGTATGTAATACTGTTCAGGAGTTTTTCCTGACAAAAATCATTTCCTGGTAACATTGGCTAATTGGTGTAAATCGCTAATATGCAAGCATAGAAATTAATTAAATCACTAGAATTGAGAGACATGGGTGCCTTGTAAATGTCATAATTGATTCATCCCTCCTCTTGTCAGTTATTGATGATAACAGCCATCTTGCTCAATAAAAGTAAATTTAAGGAGTAGAAATAATCCACAGAGTTAAGTAACTTGTCCCTAACACACAATGTACACATCACCGGACCTGGTGGTGTGAAACTAGAAGACGAAAAAGAAGTGTAGGCATGGAAACAATTGTGTGGCGTAACTCTGGTGCCGCTGCTAGTCTGCGTTGTCCGACACAACAAGGATTTACTACACACAGCACTCAAAGGCGTAATAACCGACCAGGATTCTGCTTTTGGCCGTAATGGTACATGAGATTGTAGTTTAAGGAAAGCCGTTTTAAACTAAAAAGAACAAAGTTTTTGTTTTTAGCTCTTTCACTTCCATCCCTCCCAGATGACATGGATTTTTGACATCTATCGCAGTCAGTCAGTGGTGGTGAAAGAGTTTTAGAAGCGGAAGTTTTGTCTAACCGGAACTTATTTGTTGCTGTCAATGTAGGGGTGCGTTCGGAAATTGTCTCTAATGCCCTGTGTGTTCAGAAAGTATATGCTTGTGGCATACCATCCCATAAATTTGACATAGTTGCATGAAGAAAAACAGCCCCCCCCCCCCACAAGTATATTATTTCAGGAATAAAGTTCTATTTTTTGGAACAAAAAATTGGGGGCTTATGTAAGGGGTCCCTGAACCCAAAATGTTTGGGACCCCCTTACATGTCTTGTGATTAATATGATTGCTCCTCTCACAAGTCAATCGCAATAACAGCAACCATGCACAATGGAAGGAAACGAAATGTCTCAAGATATGTTACTTCCACTCAAGCAACACAGCCATTTAGTTGTTGCTACGAGCGTCGATGCATCCTTGATACACTTAAGACTTATCATCCAGCCCCCGTTTGTAACACGGAGGGTCTTGTTTGTTGAGGCTTAAATGGCATTTCGTGGGGCGCCCTATCAAATCGCTTGCATTTTACCTTTTCCCTTTGAGGCCGAAGATCAGAAAGAGTGAGGCAATAGAGTGAGAAGGGTGGTGGGGGGAAGCACAAGGAAAATTGATGCCCTTTCCTCCAGCTAAATTAACAGGAATCACGTGGAAAACAATCTGAGTCTCCAATGAAGAAAAGGGGGAGTGGAGTGGAGGGGGGGAACCATTAAAATGAGCCCCGAG